GGTCTGTTTGATGTTTTTCTTCTTTGTATTGTTCGGATGAGTCAAGCCTTTTTCAACTGATTTTTATAGTTTTTTCTTATGTTTTGCTGTTACACAGCTGTCTTAGGTTAGGGGAGGGTTGAGCGCTCACAAACATATTTAACATCGGCACAAGAACACTGAGAACTGACAGACAAAAAACGACAAACATGAAACCTCTGACATCAACACACGCACATGGAGAACTGACTAAATTAGTGGCAACAGTTAGTCACTGATGATCAAATATCATAAATTCAGAACACGAAACCAAGTTCAAAAAACTGAAAGAATCACATGAACTCCACACGGAGCTAGATAATGTGATTCGATAGGGTATCAAGCATGTCCTGCTATGCATGCTCACCTACCACGAGAATCTACACTAAACACTATGATACAATGTGTAAAATTACAGACTATTTTAGCCTCTAAAGATCTGAGACCGTCAAAAAATGTCGCCATTGAGTCGTTTTTTTCCTCGTCACCCTGTTGGATAAGTTTTTGTGTAAATAGTACACCCCTAATAACGAAGTCCGTATAATGGGAACATACGCGAGCGTATCATATGAGGTATTTTTTAAACGCCATAAGACGAGAAACGGGGTTTATGAAAGTTGAGAACTAGGAAGTTGAAAATAGGAAACCTGAAGTCATAACTTATGTCATATATTTTACTTTGAAGTGGTCCATTCGTGTCAATATCAAGGAAAATATCAACATGTGAAGCAGACCTCCTAGTGGACTGGGATATATGAGCTGCAAGCACTCATTAAAATGTGGTGATTGAGTAACAGGACATCGGAAAATAAGCAGTCTATTGATAACCTCGGTCTTGTTGACTTATTTGTACGTCTTGCTTTGCTACCAACATATGTTGCTTACAGTTTTATCTTGGTTTAAAGATAATTGCCCAAAACGATAGAAATGGTATTGATAGCTATTGCAGGGCAAAATCTAATACCGGTATGAAGAGTTAATTGACATAATTTATAATGTTGACTTATTTTCCCGCTGGTAATTTCTTCTTATATAGAATGTTTCTGCCGTTTATATTTTTGAAATAGCCAAAAACACAAAAAAAATGTTTAAAATAAATCATCACTTGAGTGCAATAACTTCTCTAAGGTGTCGACAAACAACTTCAAGTATGTTGACTTATCTGTAGATTTTGATTTGTTGTTAAAAGTAAAATAACAAAAAGTAACATGACATCAGAAAATTAGCAGTATGTTGATAACCTCGGTCTTGTTTAGATGATTACAAGTTGAAGTCTGTAACACTAACCCTCTATTGTATTTTTCATCATAAAACTAAAAATGCACAATGGGTAAAAACGGTTATTCTAGGTAGCACAAAAGTCTACTTTGTTGAAACATACAGCTGTTTGTGTTTAAAACGAAACATCTTTGTTATCTGATCAGAAGTAAAGACAGTTAAAGTACCGAGAGAAAAGTAGTTCCAATGAGCTAATACTTGGACACACTGCTACTGATATTTCAAAAGCAAAGAATATATTTTTTTGGAAATTTTTATGGAATTTTTAATTGTCGAAATTGTCAATTTAAGTTTAACAGCAACCAGGTAATCTTATTTTGCATAGGTAAGCATATATTACAAGCTCCATAACTGTATCCCAGATTGTAATGTTAAGTTCTATATCGGAATAATTGCTTGATTTATTTTTGTTTAAATCACCTTATTAATCACAAATATTAAAAAAAAAAATGTTTATATAAAAAAAATTTAAGACCCTGGTTGGTATCATTTTAAACCCTTCGAAAGAAATCAGCGGGGTTGAGTATATAGTTTTTGCCTCGTCTTTCAGTCAGTCTGTCCGTCCGTCAGTAACCTCGTTTCGTAAAGCTTAATCAAATACTTTATATCGGATTACAACCTTACGTCGATATATGGTCATCTATAATGAGAAAAAGAACCAAAGTCAAAGGTCAATGTCAACGTTTAATTTGTGCAGAAAATTGGTTTCCAAATCATATACTACATATAGGATTAAGTTCTCTAAAAACTCTAAGTTTTGAATATGAAGAATGTAATTTTTTTTTCAATTTAATTCCAAATATAGTCATCTAGAAATATGCCGTCTCTGATGTTTTTACGAAAACTTTTGGAATATTTTTCTATTTTGCTCTCTGTCCTCCAATGTGTTGCTTCATTTGTTTTAATTCAATTCTTCCTTTTTTAACGAAAAAGTTTTAGCTGTTTGAATAGAACCATCCGAACTTTTTAATTGCTGTGCTCCCATAAAAGGGCATTAGCTGTCAAACTCATTTTCACCGATTTGACTCATATTTTCACATTTGATTCCTAACAAACTAAAACTTATATTCAAATTACAAAGTCTAAAACAAACAAATAACAAACTAAAACGTATATTCAAATTACAAAGTCTAAAACAAACAAATAACAAACTAAAACGTATATTCAAATTACAAAGTCTAAAACAAACAAATAACAATGCATGGACTTGATAATATGTATCAGTATTTCGTATGTGATTTAGTCGAGACGCCATCTAAATAACCATCACGATGACCTACTAAGACTACCGACGGTCATATAACCTGATATAAACATAAATATAAAGATATATAGTTAGCGATCACGTGCAATTTAATGTTTCTAGGTCTGTTTTATTTCATGTTATTGGTTCAAAAAATATGTTAATCATCGTTTTTACCTGTAAGAGAATGATTTTTTGAGGATCGAATCAGGCAACGATTGGTACATCCTTGTTTCACTTTCAATGTTGACATTCTTTCTCTTTTAATAGAGACCACGCCTAATACACGCGTAACCCATTCTCTAGCTAAAGGGTTAAATTGAAGGTAGCATGAATACGAATTCAACTGAAGTTTAATGATTCACTTGCAAGTAAATAATACATCAGTGATGATTTTTAGCTTATTTTGACAAATTTGGAATAAACTAACTGCTTATAACTTTTTTCAAAATACTGCGTTCATTAATACTTGAAAGAAATAGAATCGTTATCAATTTTTTTGTCTAAATCGTAGCTAACGCCCCTTTAGGTTGCACTTTGTAAATACAGCTATTTCACTAGCCACGCCTCTTTTGGGGAGATATATAATATTCTCATAGATATGTTAATTTGTTTACGTACTGGTTCCCAGATATGATCTCTGTGTTTCATCTCATAGAGACATAACTTGGGAATATTACCAGTATAGAAAAACATGGTAGCGCCTAAAATTTAATTCTTAGGATGTCCAAAAGTTAAGGTAGGGGTAGTATAGAATTTTAGTATAAGTTTAAACTCTTAGAAGTTCAGGGCATATAAATGTTGAAAATATGCCGCACAGCTCTATATTTTGACCTTTGAATAAAATAGTAGTTCATATCAACTTTCCGTTCTGGGATATAAGTTTTCACGAAACTTCATAGTAAAAGTGGCACAGTTTTATCCGCAAAGGGAGTTCCTATGGAAAATTGCATTGTCTTTATTTACAGAATTGCAACCTATATAGGGTGAAAAAAGAGAACATATAGAATTTCATAAATCTGGTTTATCTCAGAGATTTAAATGAAATTAACTCAAATACAAAGTTTTATGAATATTTCATGAAGATTAAGAAAATCCAGGACTTTCACTATGATGACTCAGCATAAATTCACAGTTTACAGTATGCATAGTTTACTTAAAGGCCTGAATTCAAAATAAATCCTTAATGTATGCATATTTGTAATTTGAATTGTTTAGAAGTGCTTATATTTACTCTTCGCAGTCATTGAAACTCATAGATCTTTCCTGAATATTGTTTTTGCGGTGTTTTTGTTCTGTTGATAACCCAAAAAGTAAGCCGTAACACCTGAATGTGCTTTTTTGAAACCGCGGCATAAAAAAATACAAGCTAGAAATACAAAAATACCTCAATAAAACTAACAATAGTGTGTTTTATCCTAAATGTGTACTGAATATTCCATATTTACAGTAAAAGCAGAATAATTTAGCCAATGTGAGGCCCCAGTGAAAAAAAACCAGAAAAATGCCTACCCCCTGGATCACAAAACAGATAATTTAACCTGTAAATGGTATGATTTTATTATTTTAAAGGTTTTTTGTGTAGAAAACAATAACTGAGCTTTGAAATTAAGCAAAAAACAAATGTTAGCAGTCAGTTCTATAAAACTTTTAGTGAAGTCATACATTATACTGGTAACCTCATACATACAACTTTTGAAAATACGGCTTTGTTTTAACACTTCTAGTTCATATATTAGCTAAATTATGTTAGATATATGGTTAGAGATGATATTGTTGTGACAACATTTCTACACTGACCATTTGAGGTAGAAATTGTTAACTATAATTGACAAATAGACATACAGTAAGATGTAGACTGGAGACAAAGGCAGGATTGGATACTTAATAAAATCTTGAATGTTGGAATGATCAATTGAATAAATGTTTGTATAGGTTGCACTTTGTTTATACAGCTGTTTCACAAGCACGCCTCTTTTGGGGAGATATATAATATTCATAGATATGTTAATTTGTTTACGTACTGGTTCCCAGATATGATCTCTGTGTTTCATCTCATAGAGACATAACTTGGGAATGTTACCAGTATAGAAAAACATGGTAGCGCCTAAAATTTAATTCTTAGGATGTCCAAAAGTTAAGGTAGGGGTAGTATAGAATTTTAGTATAAGTTTAAACTCTTAGAAGTTCAGGGCATATAAATGTTGAAAATATGCCGCACAGCCCTATATTTTGACCTTTGAATAAAATAGTAGTGCATATCAACTGTCCGTTCTGGGATATAATTTTTCACGAAACTTCATAGTAAAAGTGGCACAGTTTTATCCGCAAAGGGAGTTCCTATGGGAAATTGCATCGTCTATATTTACAGAATTGCAACCTATAAAGCTACTATTAGACTGAGACTAACTTTTTGAGTTATCATAACCATTGTATGTCATATAAACCCTACATATCATCATATGTTTTTTTTAAATATTTTATTCATACAATAGAAGTCATAGAAGCCTTAGCACAATAAAGTGTTGATATATAAAAACAAATAAACACATAAATGCAATTACATAACATTATGAAGGACGGAATTAGATTTATCACTTTATACATATTGGCCAACATTGTCCTAAATAAGTAACAGATATATAACAATGTAAATAAAAAATAAAGTTTACATAAATAATTAAAAACAAATATTTTTCCACCCAAATTCATTTAAGATAATATGTCCTATGTCTACCAATATGATGCGAAAGACCCCATGGCTTTATCATTTATAGATATGAATCTATAGCAATGGTCAAAATCTAGAACATCAAATTTACCTTTGACCTTGAACTAAATTTCAAGGTCATACAACAAGGACCTCAAATTAAATGACCCAAAGTCTCTACTATATATTGGAAATGAGTTCTATCCCAATACAGATCATTTTAAGTTTTGGAGGGGAGGAAACTCCCATCAAGTGTTAACGCACCCTTTTAACCAAAATATATAAGTTACGACATGTAGGAACTAACAGTTTAATAAAAAAAAATGTCAATATCTTATACGGTTTCTGAAGAGAAGCATTAATAAGCCAAATTAAAATTCAGTTCAAAAGACCCCAGGTCTCTATAACTTATGGTTTACCAGTTACAATTACATTTCACTTATTTTAAATACAGAAGGGAAAATAACTCTATAATGGATTCTCCGGAACGCTTCGGTCAAAATTATTCTTAAGATCCTTAGGATATAACGAGCAAATTGGTTAAATAATTTTGTCGTAATCTTTTATGGTTGCAAAGGAGATGCGCACACAAGATAAATAGTGTTTGGGGAGATAACTCTTACAATAAAAAGTATTCTGTTAAACAGGGTCAGTTTCAAAAGCGCAATAACTGTTCGATATCATATGCAAAAAATCTAAGCGACATCTTGCGAAACCATTATACACCGCAAGAAAAAAATTGTGGCGGAAGAAGAAAAAAATAATATTCAGAACAAAATCAATAGGTCTTTCCATAGAAAAGTGGAAAGACCTAGTAACAATACATTTGTTAAAAAGCTGTGCAACTACATATCAATTATTATAGTTTCTTGAGATGAAATCAAAAGTTTTATTATAGACGAAAGTGTATTTTTCCTGGTTATCAATAAATAGACATCTTATATGCTTTGAGCCATTTGACTTACTCATTTAACTGATGAATAAATAAAAATAAATAAAAAGTACTCATTAACTATAGACTTTCAATATATCAATTTGGAACTGATAACATGATAACACAAAGGGAATACAACAAACAATTTTAATTAGAAGATATCTGTCAATACAACAATGAAATCAATAAAATGTTAAGCATACATAAAGCCCGTGTCTGTAGTTACGTTAACGTAATCTATGTATATCTGGTAACTTATAACGTCAAGGATTTCGTTACCACAAATTACTTACAACCTTTATTCTTTCTTCAAAAATACAAAAAAAAGTTTTGGAAGTTTGGCTGTAGGTGTTGAAAAATTATCCCAAACGGGATAGCACATCTTAATTTTTGGTTTGTTTATCGATTCTTTCTATTTAGATACGATCCGGAATCAAATTTAAACTGGAGTTAGACCTTTGAATATTGTTTTACCGGTTTAAATACTGATTTGAATAAAATTAAGAATGGAAATGGGGAATGTGTCAAAAAGACAACAACCCGACCAAAGAGCAGAAAACAGCCGAAGGCCACCAATGTGTCTTCAACACAGCTAGAAAATCCAGCACCCGGAGGCGGGCTTCAGCTTGCCCCTAAACAAAAATGTGTACTAGTTCAGTAAAAATGGAAGTCACACTAAAGTCCGAAACATACAAATAAACTAAAATTAAAAAAAACATACAAGAATAACAAAGATAAATAGATTAAAACCCAGCTAAATGTTATTGCTATTCACGCTCTTTCATTCTGTTGATACCTATATTTTGGCATTGCACAAGATCATGTTTTTCTCTGACGGTTAATGCTTCTTTACACTTTATCTATTGGATGAAGGATGTGTAATGTTGACCTTTAAGTCTTCAATACATGATATTTGTAAAAATTGTTAACGGCTATGAATTAGTTTTCTGTAACAACGAGTATTCAAAAATCTGATCTTCGTGTATTTAGTGGTTTTGTTAGTTGTTTTGTGCCTAGTATCGTGCTGATGAGTTACGCCCTTTTTAACTGATTTGTATAGTTTGTTCTTATATTATGCTGTTACACTACTGTCACGGGTTAGGGGAGGTTTGGACGCCTGCAAACAAGTTTAGCCCCGCCACATTATGTATGTGCCTGTCCTAAGTCAATGGCCTGTAAGTCTAGGGACGTTTGTTGTCGTTTTTCGTTTAATGTTTTGTACATAAATCAGGCCGTTAATTTTCTCGTTTGAATTCTTTGACATTTTCAATTTCAGGGCCTTTTATTGCCTGCTATGCGGTATGGGATTTTGTCATCGGTGAAGGTCGTACGATGACATGTAGTTGCTTATTTCTTCGTCATTTTGGTATTTGGAAATCATACCACATCTACTTATATATATAAATTTGAGCATTATGCATAATAATTGTTAAGCAATTGTATCTCATGGAGGAGTTATATTTAATTTTACTGTGTGCATAACTGGGTTCTAAAAATGTTATATTTTCAAATCTCTTATCTTAAAAAAAATCATTACTTCTATTTGTGTTGCCATTTTTTTTACTTTATTAACAATATTATGATAAATGCATAGATTCGATGCGGACAGGCTGCTTTCAAGGCACATATGTGAAACACTTGTCATATCTGAACTGTACAGATCAACTACAGTCCTTGGATGGCGTAAACTTCACACCATACACCATTACACCATTCACCATACACCATTACACCATACACCCTGTGCCATTACACTTTACACGTTACACATTTGCACCATACACCTTACACATTACACCATAATGCAATTTAATTTCAAAGAAAGCGTGCGACTACAAAATTATTTATTTATTTAAAAAAAAACGAATTTGATCACAATATTGTAAATTAATGTATAAAATCAAAAATCAGTTCTTAACAATATTTTGCATAGTTTTAAATGTCGTACACCATTCGTTCACACCATTCCCGATCGCACGTTACACCATTACACCATTCCCCTTACACCATACACCATAGCCCCATACACCTTTTACCATTGCAACCATATGCCATACACCATTACACCATACACGTTTTTTTTGGGAAGTTTACACCATCCAAGGGCTGTAGTATTATTGGTTTAAACATGCATTGTGAGAGTATTTCATGGAAATACATAGTTCCCTACCGGTTAAAAGTTCATTGTCATGGTGTAAACTATAAAACAAATATCAAACCAATATCTTCAAGCATGACGAAAAAATGTGTGGAAAACTGATTAATTCCGTGAATTTTCTAAGTCCTAGGTCCTAGAACCATAACTCTACAAAAAAATTATTTGAACCAAACAAAATTCGAATTTGATCTGTAACTGGTCATGGTAGAACTATATATCAAATATCAAATCAATATCTTCAAGCATGATGAAAAAAAATGGGGAAAACTAATTACTTGCCTGAATTTTATCAGTCGAAGGACCATAACTCTGCACAAAATCATCAGACCGGAACAAAATTCGAACTTGATCTTGTGGTAGAACTATATATCAAATATCCAATCAAAATCTTCAAGCATAACAAAAAAAGTGCGGAAAACTGATTACTTGTGTGAATTGTCGAATACCAAGGAAAATAGCTCTGCACGAAATCATCTGACCGGAACTAAATTCGAACTTGATCTGTAACGTGTCATGATAAAACTGTATACCAAATATCAAATCAATATCTTCAAACACGAAGGAAAAAATGTGGGAAACTAATTTGCCGAAATGACGGATGGACAGACAGATGGACAGAGTGCAAACCTATAGTTCCCTTCGACTTCGTCGGTAGGGGACTAATGATTCTGAAGCTATCTGCCAATAATAAGTTATACATTGACTTGATGTCAAATACAAACGAACCACTCAAAGAACTAGATGGAATATTTAATATTACCGAGTATACTTTAAAACTCAAGTCTGCAAATTGTATATAAATTGAAACTAGAGGCTCTCAAGAGCCTGTGTCGCTCACCTGCATTTACTGATGCTTTGGAAATCATGTAACATAAGGTTAAAATCATAATTAATAGTATTAGATATTAGATATTATAATGATATCTAAGATAATAACAAAAAACTGCAAAATTTTTGTAAAATTACTAACTCAGGGGCAGCAACCCAACAACGGGTTGTCGGATTCGTCTGAAAATTTCAGGGCAGATAAATCTAAATCTGATGTACATGTTTGCCACCTGTCAGATTTGCTCTAAATGCTTTAGTTTCAGAGATATAAACCAAAAACTGCATTTTACCCCTATGTTCTATTTTTAACCAAGTCCGCCATGATGGTTGGAAGGCGGGGTCATCTGACAAATTTTTTAAACTAGATACCCTAATAATGATTATGGCCAAGTATGGTTAAATTTGTCTCAGTAGTTTCAGAGAAGAAGATTTTTGTAAAAGATTACAAAAATTTACAAAAAATTGTTAAAAATTGACTATTAAGGGCAATAACTCCTAAAGGAGTCGACTAACAAATTTTGGTCATGACAACTTATTTGTAGATCTCACTTTGCTGAACATAATTGCTGTTTACAGTTTATCTCTATCTATAATAATATTCAAGATAATAACCAAAAACTGCAAAATTTCCTTAAAATTACCAATTCAGGGGCAGCAACCCAACAACAGGTTGTCAGATTTGTCTGAAAATTTCAGGGCAGATATATCTTGAGCTGATAATCAGTTTTACCCTATGTCAGATTTACTCTAAATGCTTTGGTTTCAGAGATATAAGCCAAAATCTACATTTTACCCCTATGTTCTATTTTTTAGCCATGGCAGCCATCTTGGTTGGTTGGCGGAGTCATCGGACACAATTTTTAAACTAGATACCCTAATGATGATTGTGGCCTAGTTTGGTTAAATTTGGCCTAGTGGTTTCAGAGGAGAAGATTTTTGTAAAAAGCTAACGACGACGGACGACGACGACGACGACGACGACGACGCCGACGACGGACGCCAAGTGATGAGAAAAGCTCACTTGGCCCTTCGGGCCAGGTGAGCTAAAAAAAGAAGCCAAATATCAAAGAAATTTGTGTACTACTACAGGTGACTGGCTATTCTTGTGTTTCTCACTCTTCGAGAGATCATTGTATCTCTGCCTGCGTTATACATATCTAGGGGGCGATTTCATCCATCAACTAGACGATGGTTAAACAACGGCAAACAGCTGTTTCTCCTTGCAATTGTTTGTTTCAACTTCTTGGATGAAGCCTAACTCAATTTAATTTTCTACCTGCCAAAATAAAAAGAAAGAGTGCTATATAACTTTTTTTCTTGAAAAGGCAATGCCTTGATTTTTCTCTACGCAAATTCCTTTTCATGGTTTATTTCCTTCTTCAGAAATTTGTATGTCACAAAAAAAAATCCCAAGACAAGTAATGATTGAACCCCAGTTTAAAATAACTATTTTTAATATCAAAATCTTTAATTTTCATCAGAAAATTCAAAGGGGATAGATGCCTGTAATAAGTAAAATCTTATAACGGGATTGATGGTATAACCAATGGACAACCGAAATATAAATCTGTTTGGAATAATTGTTAATTTGTTTACCTTTTCTCCGTCATGAGGTAGCATTCAGTTACAAGCTTCCAGGTTACCACTTCTTTCTTCGATATTGGACTCTGTCATATGGAAATGAAAAGAAAAAGGAAATATGAAGTTGTTTGTTCCATGTGACACTTATTATCATAACGTATTGTTTTCATTTTTTATCAATCTTTTTTTTAAATATAATGTAACGTATGTTTCTTACTCAAAACTTCAAATCATCCTATTTAATTATTCATAAAACAAACATAATTTTGAAAAGTTTGAAAGTTTTTTCCTTTAATTGCAGTTTTGGGGACTAGTTAACGCAACGTAACGTACTTGCCCATAATAAACTTTAAGTCTAAAACCAAATGTACCATTAAAATTTTCTTACCCGTGAAATTTTGGCAATGGTAATATTTTCCAGACCGTATCGATTTCAGGAAACACTCCTCAAAAGTTGATATGTTGCAGCTTTGTAAATTATGCTGTTCAAGTTCTTTTAAAAAGCATATGCGTTGTGTTATAACACTACACATGACCCCACTATAACCTTCATTACAGTGAGATTTCACCTGATTTTGAGAGTAACTAGAGCAACTCGCATAGCCTCGGACTTTAAATTGATTATTGAAAATCTTTGCACACCAATTACCTACATGTAAAAAGAATAAAAAAATGCACATGAATAGTTTATAAGTGATTTATCCGTTGGTAAAGAATATTATTACAGGTGCTTTTCACCAGAGTTTGATTTTGAAAAAAAAGCAACTCGCATTGCCTCCGTCTTTAAAACGATTGTTCAATTCATCTCTACATTTATAACATATACAGAGTATACAAATTCACTGGATTATTTTATAACTGAATTTCTACTTAGGAATAGTAGCTCTCTTTCGTTTTTATATAATCAAAGTGTGATTTCTTTTTCATAATTGTTACATTGGATTCAGAATATATATTATATGTTTACCAAGGTAACTATATAATTATTACATTATTGCTGAATATTTATTATATAAAAAGATATGGTATGAATGCCAATGAAATGAAGATCCATCAGAGTCCAAGTGACGTGATGATAGGTTACTGTACAGCCTACAACAATGAACAAAACCCAAACATATTAAAGGCCCCGATTCATGACAGGTCTAAATGTGGAACAGTTTAAAAAAAAACCACCAGCTTGATTTATGGCAATACAATAAAAACTAAATATATGACAGACAGCAACCAACGACTGCCTCTGAATTGCAGACTCATGAATTTGGGTTAAACATGTTTGTTAGCGCTCAACCCTCAGCTGACTTGGACAGTGGTGTAACAGAGCAACATAAGAACAAAGGGTAACAATCAGTTATAACACAAATATGCTCAAATATAAGATAGTATTGACGAGACATGTAATGGTATTTTATGTGTAAATGACTGAAAACATTACTATGTCTTGATATGTTGTAACTCAAAAACAATACGATAGTATAATTACTTACAAGATTTTTTAGAGTCATCGGCTGGTCGACCTCCCAATTCTTTATCGTTGACACAGTGAACTTTCTTGTCACAGAAGCAAAACGATGGAAGTTTGCTTCCGTCTGTACATTCCTCGCACAAATGACTACCTAAACGAAACCCACAAATATTTGGTTATAAATGATTTTAAAGATATTTCAAAAGTAGTTCACATTACTAATTCCATTTGTTAGTATGTGGGTATACAACACAATATGCATAGTGGTACATATCGTATATTGATCAAACTTTTACTCTTGCATAAATGATGATCAGAGTAAATGTAATTGTTAAAATATGTACTTGTTATCACATGTATGATCATCAAATATTGAGATCAATCTAACCAAAGAAATTTGAAAATGTCAATTTATTGCATTCAATTGTGATAGTTCACAAGGTAACAATCCACGAAGACATGTCACCTGACCCGGATATATTTTTTCTAAAGCCGCGTGCATAGCAGATACTAATTTTCAAGTCTTAAGTTTGACCCAGCCGGGAATCGAAACACAATCTCCAGCACACAAGACTAGCTTTTACAATATTATCTCGGAATCACTTGACTAACAAGGTGGTACCTCTCAATTACAATTATTTTATAATAACTATCAGATAAATAAACGATAAGTGTTAAAACTAAAAAAAAAACCAAAATACAAATATTGTTAATAATATGGTAACAGGGTTTAATGTCAATACACTTTGCGTCTTAATCATAGCTGATGCTTCTTTAAAATGATGTTCTTATAATCTCTAATTTATCTTATAGCTAAAATTGAGACCAGTCTAATCCAGGAGTGGATTCAAGCTGAGAATACATGCAGTATATTGACAATACATACTGGAGCAATATATTACGTCCTAGATTCAATCTTGGTTGACGGAACCAAATTTCGTTCAAATGTTTTTTTTTTTTTTTTGAAAATGTAAGATTCGCGTGTCTATCAATCTGAAAACTGGATCAGCATCTGTAATACAGTCCAGGAAAGTCGGATCGGCAACCTAACACGTCATATGTTCTACTGTTGCTATTATGAATGATGATGCATCCGATCTAACTCAATTTTGGATTTTTTAAGAATTCTATCAGATGAGTTGCCTTCGGTATAATATGGCAACATATGTACAGTTTAATAGAATTACTTACTTGATTCATCCTTACCAATGTTACAGTACTTGTTGACATATTTTGATCCTACAAAATATCGAGTTATAGTTCGACATTGAATTTTTAAGGTAAAAGTTGAGACCATATAATTATTTTATTTGTTCAGAATGATTTTAAGATTAGGTAAATAATTAACAAAGGTAAATACATGTAACTAACCAAGGTAAATAATTCACAAAGTCTGATAACTATCTGATGAACAAAATGAGTAGCCAAATGGTTTTTTTTTTCAAACCACGGATGCTCTCATCATAATATATTCACTAGTATATGAAATATTACCATTAAATGTGATAATCCATTAGTTACATTTAAGGTATTAACATTGCACCATTATTTATTTTATTCTATGGTAAATCTGTCTATATCAAGATACTTGCCTATTTCGCATACACTCCCATAGGCAAATGGATCTTTTTTCAGTTCCGTCACAAAAACTGAAATTTTAATCAATTTGGCAAATATCAATAGCCTGCATTTAAGTATTATATTTTAAGTGTTACCTTTCTGTCCAGTTGTTTCAGCGCTTCCCAATTGTTTCTGTGTTTACCTGTCCAGTTATTTTAGCGTCTGGTAATTGTTTTAGTGTTTCCCATTTGTTTCTGTGTTGTATAACTGTCCAGTTGTTTCAGTGTTTGATGGTGATTTCAGAGTTCGCCATTTGTTTCAGTATTTCCCGTTTGTTTCTGTGTTCAACTTTCCAGTATTTCAGTGTTTTTTGTGATAATGTTTACCTGTCCATTTTTTTCAGTGTTTGTCATTTAGTTCTGTGTTTAACTGTCAAGTTGATTCATTGTTTGACATTTGTTTCTGTCTTTGACAATTGTTTCAGTATTTACTATAGTTGTTTCAGTGTTTGCAGTTTGTTTCTGTGTTTAACTGTCTAAATGTTTCAGTAATACATCAAATATATTTGCAGTGTGTTTCTATGTTTACCTTGTCCAGTTGTTTCTGTGTTTAAGAAATAAGAAAAAAATCATAAAACGGCGGACGGTGTTTCATGCAGTTACATGGTTGTGTAATCTGCCAGTGAAACAATCAAATTTAACCTAAAAATCGTACAAAGTTATATAATGCATAGAAAAAAAGGGAAAAATCCAAAATTTGCTTTTGATTGCCTTTTCGTCATTTTGGTCATGTTATTAGCCGTTTTTCTTCGATTCGGTGTTTTGATTGTTCCTTTGGTATAATCTGCATCTTTTTTTTATATAAATAACTTCAAATTAGGAAAATAGATCCTTCTAGGTAATTGTAGTGTGTTCAATAGTATTCGATCGTGCAATATTATTTTCCCTTTAAAAATTATTTGAACAAGATATGAAAATAATGAAAATGTATATCTTAATAAGAATTATGTTGTATCTCTTACTATCTTCCAATAACTTGCATGAAACAGTACTCACCTCCCGATGTATTGTAAATGCACTTATTCGCTGCTGTAAATATAAAAGAGGTGAAATTTAAACACTTCCGTGCAACTGATCGTGTTATTTTTCTGTGTAACATACATTTTTGGTTTGAAATGTTATTCCAAGAATTGCTATTTGTTTCAGTTGCCATTTCACTTTTAATGTCCAGTTTGTTATAAAACTACATACAGAAACAACTTCGTTCTGATAGATTTACGCGAGAAAATATTTTACTGTACAGTATTGTTTGTTTTTTGGAAAATAATTACAAAATAACCTACTGTTTTCGACCTTCAAATTAGATTGTAGTGAATTCTTGAAGTCCTCTTGACCTTTTGGTTGTGTCACTACCACGATACACACTATTGCTATAAATATAATGGCCTAAAAATAGTGAAAAAATCAATTCAAGAGCAAATAATGTTATCAGTATATAGATTAAAAATAAAGGTAGTAATTAATATTTGCATTGAAAGATATATATTTAGGTGAACTAGATTCGTATTTGAACCTCATCGTTCTCTTTTTATGTCATTTAGGTTGATGTATATTTCCAGCATAAGATATAGAATTAAATAGAATATCTCAATTTTCAGCATTTTATATTGACAGTTTTTCCAAACGTATTTATGTGGCAAGAAAAAGAAACTCAACTTACCAAAACTATCATACCAATTACGCACTGAAAAAGAAGATAATAGTAAAGAAAACGCTACAAACAATAGATGGCTCATTTCACTTGCTAGTTTAATAACCATATCACGGAATTATAATAAGCAACCAAAAATCAATGTGACAAAAAGTGTTCGCAATGAATACGAACATGATATCATACAAAATTTCAAAATAAAAAGATTAGCCTGATACAACTTAAGATTTAAATAAACAACGAGATGTAAAATGTAGGTCATGATGAAAATACTGAATGGCTGCGTAGCGTCCACGTCAAATTGAATGCATAATAATAATAATAATAATAATAATAATAATAATAATAATAATATATCATATATCATCCATAGCATATTCAGGACAAGAACATGTTAATATAATAAGAATATAAACCCTGCTTTGTACTAGACCGACCAGTCTTTGCTCTTACTCCTTAATGTCGCTTGCTTAGCGGAGAAGAAGCAAATAACAATTTCAAATTCTTTTGTCTGATCCGGCCGGGGTTCGAACCCACGTTCTCCCGCACTCGAGGCGAACATTCTACCACGAAACCACCGAGGCGGCAAAATGTAGGTCATAACGTACTTTTCTTTGTAAAAACGTACTTTTCTTTGTAAAACACTACTTTACTTCTTTAAATGCATCCTTACACAGCTATGTATGAGTGTAGGTCACTTAGTATCTGGGATGTAGGTAAAATCATTACTGATATCTTTTTTGAGCTGCTGTTTTATTTCATCCCGTACACCAATTTATATAATTGTAAGTCACTTGATTTTGAACGTATACTTAAAATCGGAAATGGTATTTTGATTCATAGAATCGTAAAATATTTGTCATTCGCCATTCATCTTATAGCAATCAGTCAGATTTATCTGTACACATTTTTTATATATGACTCTGTCTATTTCTCTTTTCCGTTGGCTTCAAATACACGTCGACGTTATCTAACGCCGAAGGTAAGTTCTAATTGTTCCCCTCAGCCCAATTCGGGCGATCTTCCGAATAGGCATGAAAATATGGCATTGGACTTAAGGTAAACAATCAATCAATCGTTCAAACAAACACATACTGCATCAACCATACTTTTCTTCTTACGTTTAATGGATATAAAAAAATTTTAAGTGTCATAGAAAATTCATTTTAAAAGGCAAAAGCATATTTTATTCGTTTAAATCTTTCAACAACCCAGGCAAAATATTGACCGACAATGCTAATTCTTACAAAAAATATTTTGTTTTGGTCATTCACGTTCTAACGTTTCTATGTATTTCATTCCTTTATTTTTTTAAATGTTTGACTATGAGCGTTCCTGATGAAGGTAAATCCAGAAAAGCGCTTTGGATGCACGAGTTTTTCAAAATAATTAATTTTCTGTTGGGGAATCAAGAAAGGGAATTTGCGATCCAAAATAAAATAACGTGAAACTGAGCGACATTTTTATTTTCTTACCGGCTTCCAATGCTTACGACAAAAACTACATCTTCGGTTGATACTTTTATTATCAGTTGTGGTATCATTTGTGGTATCATCTGTTCCTACTATGACATAATTTTCGTTCATCATCATGGAATACCTGAAATTGCACCATACCTTTAAAATGAAAAATCATTTTTTGTGTTGTTTGGTTGTTGTAAAATATAAGTGAATTTAGACCTATTATTTTGTTGATAATATGAATATGTAATTACACATATGATACGCAATATACTTTACAAAAATAATATGATGCATTTTGCAGTTCCCGCACTCTGGGGTTACAACTCTTTTACAGCCTAAGTATACTGATGTGTATGCTGCTTACCTCCGGCTTTATTTCTGGAAATGTTACTATATATACTATTATATTGCTAGTCAAATGCGTTTTGGTAAAATATACTTTTTCACTTTTTTCGGTCTTTTAGAAAATGTTGTTTGTGCTGTATTTAGACCCCTCTACCAAGAAATTTGTTTTGCATGCACACGTATAAATATTGCGGTTTTTATCCAACGCAATCATAGGTTTGAACGTTGTTTCCAATTTAGACTTTTTTACTATTATATTTATATATATACCTTTGACTTGAGACAGTTTGACATTGTTGATATACAATGAATTGTTCAAATCCAATAATTGAAACAGCTTTATAACCATTAACACATACTTGATATTTTTTTCATTGATGATTGCACATTACCGCTGAGAAAACAAGTTTGTTTTTGTAAGAATGTTCAGGGTATATCACTTAAATGCATGGGTTGATGAAATATTTGACCGAATAATCAAATTTCCACTTATTCCATGATTTTCAATATTAACATGTATAGCTCTCCCTCTGTTTATCACACTGAAAATACTAGATAGGATATCAGATTTGTGTTCTATAATACCTACCTAACCTAAAATCGGAAGTATATAATAAACATTTATTCTAAAACCAGTCGTTGACATGATACGGGTTATGTTCTTTTCATATATTTTATGATGGTATGATACTAAACCCCTAACGGGAGGGATTGTGCTTGATTTTCATATGATGAAGACATAATCTTTCAATCAGTTTAATTGAGGTCTGGAGCTGGCATGTCAGTAACTGCTAGTACTACTTTGTTAATTTATGTATCATTGTCATTTTGCTTAGTTTCTTTTGTTACCTACTCTGACATCGGACTCAGACTTTTAAACTGATTTTTACTGTGCGTATTGCTGTGTGTTTGTTTTTTCTACATTTGCTAGAGGTATAAGGGAGGGTTGAGATCTCACAAAACATGTTTAACCCCGCCACATTTTTGCGCCTGTCCCAAGTCAGGAGCCTCTGGCCTTTGTTAGACTTGTATGAATTTTAATTTTAGTTCATTTATATGTTTTGGAGTTTAGTATGACGTCCATTATCACTGAACTAGTACACACTTTTCTTTAGGGGCCAGCTGAAGCACTCTTTCGGGTGCGGGATTTTCTCGCAGTGTTGAAGACCCATTGGTGGCCTTCGGCTGTTTTCTGCTCTTTGGTCGGGTTGTTGTCTCTTTGACACATTCCCTATTTCCATTTTCAATTTTATTGTATTCCATATAGACACGGCATGCCCAGACTTCAGAATCAAAATGTTGTGTGTGGGAGATTTGTTGCATACCTAGTAGTATTAGCCCTGTATAACCCTAGGTTATCTGATAGAGAAATTGTGTCGTAATTTTTTTCACATATACAGACAGAGTTGTGGTGTTACATCTTACACAGTCTACCCGAATTATTTGCCCAACACATTCATTTTTTTTCCTGCCAAGTTATCTAACATAGATCTCGCAATGTGTGTGATCGTCAGTTTTCAAAGAATTCCGCTCAAACCGGTGCTAGGGGCCGTCTTACACTTGCAGTGAGGTGAGAGTTGTTTTGCTCCGTGTCGAAGGCCTCAATGTGACTTTTTTTAATGCGCATGTACTGATTTTGTGTCATGGATGGATACCTCATATCCTTTCTTCTCAAGTATCGTTTTCATAACAGTGTGACGATTTTTTTGGCGCGCTCAAGTCTCCCATTTACTGGGTTAAATTAGGTGAACGTTCGTCTGTAACGCCCACTTACCACGTCGTATTTATCATAGACATTTAAACTGTGGGGTCACCAAAGGTTCTCAACGCCTAAATCAAATAATTCGAAAAATTAGTACAGGAATAACCTTTGTGTTTTGATTAATATTGAATGCTTAAACGTTCTTTACTTGCGTTATTGGTATGTTTTGATAAACATTTTTTATTACATCGCACGTTCTTTATACATAAAAATTAATTTAACTACCTTTAAAAGTTACAATGTATGTGTTGGCTATTATCTTTTTCGGACGTCAAAGCGATTAACCCATTGCGGTTGTCTAATTTTTTCACTTAGTATCTTTTAACTTTTATCTTGTGTAAAATTTTATTTTAGATCGAATGCATGATCAACTTTCAATAGTTTCCTCTTTTTTTTTGACATGAAACAAAGTATTTTTTTCCTTTCCAATTTTTTTTTTAAACGGCCCAACCTTTACACACACAATAATTGACGACAGTTTATATATCAACTTCGTCCTTTTGAAGATCGCAATGAAAATGTGAATATAAGATATGCATCATGCAGGAAATTAATTTTTAATATGTGGTCAAAATTATCTCGAAGCGGAAAAAGCAACAGCTTAATATGGACTGAAATTGAAATAATTGTTATAATTTACTTTTTCCAATATAAACATTATATAATTTTTTTTTTTTTTTAATTTCTTTTTATTTCAAATTGAGACTATCGTAATGTTGTTACAATTTCGATGTATTATAAAATTATATAACGATGAACTGTATGCCAGGAAAAATTAAGAAATTGTACATAGTTAAACATTAACGTATGTGTGTGTGTGACGAGACATTGAATAAGCAGCACTTGTTACAATACAGGTAGTTCTCGTCAGCACATTCAATATGTGAAACCGAAAGAAAATAAAATTATTATCAATATTAATGTGTCTATACAATTGTCTTACCGACTTTTTTCAGCTGTGAACAAATTAATTAAACAAACAGTGAATTGTTACTCTGTTGTATGCAAGACATGTATTAGGATTTGAAAGATATGTGAAACCGAAAGTAAATAAAATTATAATCAATATTAATGTGTCTATACAATTGTCTTACCGACTTTTTTCAGCTGTGAACAAGTTATTAAACAAACAGTGAATTTTTACTCTATATTGTTTGCAAGACATGTATTGGGATTTGAAAGATATGTATTGGGATTTCCATATTTTCCCCCAACTATGGCGGTTTGAGCCACTTACCTGTCAATTAAGACGAATTGTGATCTAAATATAGATACTGGGATTTTTAATACTTAAAACGTCACTATTTGTATTATCTACGGAGGCCCATTTAGGACCTTCCAAAAATATAATTTGAATTCCAAATCACGATCACGAATTCGTGATAACGAATTTGTGGAATTTGTTATAACAGCTTTTAAAATTCGCAATTACGAATTAAATTCGTTATCACAATTTCATATATCTAGTAGCCATAACTAAGGAGTCAAGCATATAATAAGTAAGAAATGAAAATTAAATTATTCTACGAACACTTGTTTACCTTTTTTATCATACACCAAAAGGAGAATCAGACTATGACGCATATACCAGTCGATTGTAAGCCCCTAGGGTCCGGTCATTTATAACTCAAATGGGGGGGGAGGGGGCTTACAGGAATATAAAGGGGGGCTTGAAAATTGTGGGAATCAAAATTTTCACTTCTTCAATTAGGGAGGGGGGCACTTGCTATATACATGTAATGAGTGGTAGACATGAGCCGCTTGAATAGGTCACTATTTTCAGGTTCATGATATATGATAAGGTCGAGACATTAAGATTGAATATATGACGAGGCTGCTGATCTGATCATATGGCGATTGTTTTACATATGCGGTTAAAACCAGTGTCGAAAATGCATCAGATATTTGTCAAATTTATCTATCTCTCCATGAAATAATCATGATAGGTACAGACATATTTTTTGACAAAATATATGTCATAAGGTATATATTTTTGAGATAAAATGCCTATATACGAAAAGGGTGGGTACTGGATCACTCGGCTTCTCACCCCTAGCACAAAATGATCTAAGTGTCCCTCCCCTCCTGGGGGTAGAAATAAATCGAGCAATTTTGTATTTCAAACATACAAAATCTATGCTACTAAAGGAAGAGACCGATTTCATTGAGCCGCAACTCCTCTGAAACCATACAAAGTCGGAAATATTTGTGATATATGTGACGTATAACTGTAGTGTTTTGTACTTCCTAAATTTGTCTTTGATACAATCTTTTTTTTCCCCCAGAAAACGACATTTTTGAAAACATATCCAAATTCGGAGACCGTTATCGATCCGTGTCTTATACGCTTTCGTGCATGCTCAGTCGACGTACTGCCCGCGAAATCCAAGTGAAAGTAAGAAGAAAGGATAGAAAATAGGACAGTTAGGCCTATAAGGATCCTGTATTGTATTGTAAATGCATCATTTTGCTAAATTAAACGACATCCACCCCTTTTTACTCAGTTGCAGAACTGTCCAAAAATGAAATGGGCGTTGGACTTGTCGAAGTGATCCTCCCCCTTTTTATGTGTAAACACAGGCACCCGACGTCCGGACCCCTCCCCCTTTTTATGTGTAAACACAAGCACCCTTGACACTCTTTGTTTCAACACTTGCCCAATTGTACCGCGATTTCGCCGTCATCTTCTAGTGATAACTAAATTGATGCATACCCTTATCATCATCTAATTCTTCTGAAGTAGCGTCTGTGTCAATTGATTCATATGCCATGTATATAATTATCTGTCGTAGCATCATGGATGTCTCCAAACATCATTTAAATGTTTGTTTAATGTTCTGCTTCAGTTTGTTTGTTGCTGATAACACTACGATATCAGTGAAAGCTGACTTGATGACTTAGTTTTTGCAACGCTTTTCGAATTTTTTTTTAGTGTATCCCTTTTCATAAGAAAACTGATAATACTTATAACTGTTTCTTTCTTAGATTTGTATCGAAATAACTAATGACCAAGCATTTAATGTAACGGTTTAAGTGGTCTTGATGAATTGCATACATTTTTCCAAAGCTTTAAAATTTTCCTTTTTTATGTGTACATTTTTTTTAGTTTTAACGATACATATTAAAAGGTATATTTTAAATAAGATACTGATATATGAAATCTATCTTCTTTTACATATTCAAACAACGAATAGACAACAGTGGCGGATCCAGGGTGTTTTAGGGGTCACAGTAAGAAAATTGTTTAACATTTTGACATGTACAGTCATTATATATGCACAATGGTATCTTCTCCACCGTGTAGTGTACTTTATTATATTGTACATATTTCCAAGAATAACCTTTTGTACACTGTTGAGTCATCAGAAAAAAAAGTAGTTGTGGTCGCAAGATAGCTTTCTGTCATCCGGAATGTAAGAAAACTTTTCACCATCCCATATCTATTTCAAGGATTTTTATTTTATTTTTTAGGAACTGTTTACATTTGTACCAATAGATCTCGGTTTTTATTTAAGTGTCATTCTTATCATATCTCTGTATGTGAATTATTCCCTTTTATGACCTATAGAGATTAATTCAGACAGGGGCACACCAACCAACCCCCTCTAAAATCTGGAAGAAAATATTTTGACTTGCTCTGTTCGGCTCAATTTTTAGGCAAAAAAGAGGTAGGAGATGCAGAGACTCAATGCAGAGAGCTTTAAAAATCTCCTGAAATAACTTGGTTGCATGCTGTTTGCTTATTTGGAACTGAGGTAAATATAGGAACAGGCAAGGTTTTTCATATCGCTTCGTTTCATGATTTACCCGGTCATTTCTCGGGAACTCGGATTCTAATTTTATAATTGCTATGTCTATTTTTGAACCTTATTTGTAAGAAAATGGTTATTAATCAACATTTGGATTTATATTTTGATGTAATTTGAATTCTGAATTCTTCTGTAAAAAGTCTACTAGAGCACCTGCCGAGGAAGGCCATGCAAAAATAAGGTTTCATTTTACCCAACATTACTAATCTAGTATTTATTTGATATTACATATTTCTTTAAAATGTACAATATATTTATACCTAAAATACGTTTTGAGTGTTTGCTCTTTGTTCACCGCTAGTGCCAACTATTTCAAGCATACATATTCAGAACAGGAAATATAGGTATTGAGAAATGGAGAAGGCCAAATTTTTGCTGCATCTACAGAATTTAATAGAATAGAATATGCTAGCACTGTACTCAGTTCTAAGTAATTTGTTGCTATCATTTTTTTTTAATATATATTGTGAAAGTACGTGGTAATTTACGAAATGTATTAACATCAATTTATGAAATGTATTTATTAACTTACCTTGGTGTCTGATATTTCAAAATTAGATAACAACAGTGTTCATTCTCAGTTTATATCGCGTGTGAATTGTGGGAATTTTCGAGGTTATTAATATATAAAAAAAAAAAAAAAAACCACGATCTATAAATAACATAAATCATTCTACCTTATTTTTAGACCTTTGTGTATTTTCAACTTGTAAGATATAGGGAGATTTTCTAATCTATCCTACAAATGGTCATGATAAAGTCAGAAGTAGGCGGAAAAGAACATACAAAGTTCATAGCGGATTTAATGGATTTGAAGGCAAATATATAATCTGATAACAAGTTAATATTATTTTCTATGGAAAGCAAAGGTGTCTTAATTCCAACTTTGCAATTCTGAAATTGTATGTCTGTAATTTAAGATTCCAACTTTGCAATTCTTAATTTGTAACAGCGCAACTCGATAAATGAACGTTTGAGAATTGCAACTCGACCTATTCAATCGTGTAATTCAAATTTCCAATTTTGATTTTCGATACTTTCTTCATGGTACGAGTACTTTTGTAATTTGTACATTTGTGATATGTGCCTTTGTAAGCTTAAAATCTGTTGTTCGAAATTTGTAATATGTCAATTTGGATCTTGCATTTATGTTATATGAAAAGTGTTTTTTTTCTTCAGTTGAAAACTCGTAAATTAACATTTAGCTGACGCGAACAAACCGCGCGGCAACATTTGTATATCGATATTATGATACATTTTGTATTATGGTACATTTCTTATTATGATAACAGATGGCGTCATGGTCGGAACTTTCGCAGATAAATAACTCGACATTAAACAAAATCAATCTATAATAAATTTGGCCTATACCATTATGTATATTTATTGATTGATTTATTGATTTCTGGTGTTTGATCCCACTTTCAGCACTATTGAATATCTCGTGGCGGTCAGTTTTTTTTTATGAAAGAAGCCGGAGTGCCAGGACAGAACCACTGACCTTCGGCAGGAAATATTTATATATAGAAATAAAGTAAACAAACTATTCCTTTGTTGAAATTTTTATTTTAATATTAATTACTGAGAAAGAATGTCCATACTTGCTAGATTTTGATTTTCGAGGATTCTTTATTGTTTTTCTGCTCTTAACGAATTAAATTTGTTTTACAGCTACTCAAAATTCGTCATCCTAAGTTTGTCATAACTCCTCTAAATGGATTATCAGTAATAGTTATCCCATGAGGACGCGGTGTGTCAGTGTAAGATCACCCCGATGGCCTTCCTAGTGGGATAACTATTTTACATCCCAGCTCTTCTAGACTATATGAAAAAAACATTAACGCTTCATAACATCTAGTTCAGAATGCCATACCATAATTATAATATACTTCATATATTACTATATAGTATATACCCTTTATGAGCCCCTAATACAACGTGGATTTTTTTCTACATAATTTTGAAAGTTAGTCTTTTTAATCCGCTTAAATATTTCTAAGTTTTATTGTGTGTTCGATATTCCCGCCAAAATGTTACAGAACAAAAGAAAGCATGCAGAACAAAACAACTGAAGGTATGGTGATCTGGTAGGGGTGACTCAGATCACCTCTGTTAGAACAAAGGAGTTTGGATGTAAACCTTTGTACT